GACATTGAAATTGGGTCTCAAAAGAACTATTGGCCCAGAAAAAAACTCACTATAGACTGATTCATTTGTCTTTCAGCATAACCATTATGGCTTGTCTTATTTTCCAATCTTTTATTTTATATATATATTTTATTAAATTTTTAAAGAGAGGGAGAAGGATAGAAAGTCAGAAACATTAATGAGAGAGAGACATCGATCAGCTGCCTCCTGCCCACTCCCCACTGGGAATGTGCCTGCAACCAATGTACATGCCCTTGACCGAAATTGAACCTGGGACCCTTCAGTCCGCAGGCCAATGCTCTATCCACTGAGCCAAACCAGTTTCGGCTCATTTTCTGTTCTTAAAGGTGTATTTCCAGTAGGACATCATCTCACTCATCTAGGGGAAATGATGAACAACACAGACTGATGAACAAGAACAGACCCAGAGACAAGGAGCCATGGATAAGACTGTTAAACCTCAGAGGGAAGGAGGGTATAAAAGCGAGAGATCAACCAAAAAACTTGTGTGCATACATATGAGCATAATCAGTGGTCAAGGACAACAGGGGGATGGAGACAAGCGTGGGGAGGGATAGGGGATGAGAATGGGGGATGAGGACAAATATGTGATACCTTAATCAATAAAGTAATTTAAAAAAAATTTTTCTCACAATTTTCGAGGCTAGAAGTCTGAGACAAGCAGTCCAAATCTGAGTTAGCAATATTGGTTACTTCTGGGACCTATCTCATTGCCTTGTACACGTTCATCTTCTTTCTTTCTTCACATGGCTACGCTTTGGTTTATATCTGTGATGTAATCTCTTCTTACAGGGACAACAATCAAATTGTATTAGGGGCCATCCTACCTAATCTATTTTAACTCACTTACTTCTTTAAAGACTACATTTGTAAATACAGTCCCAAAGAAGTACTGTGGTCAGAACTTCAATATATAAATTAGGGGATGTGGGGGAGAGACAATTCAGTCCATAACATTTAGGCATAAATCTAGTAAGAAATGTGCAAGATCTATGTAAAGACATTTTTTAAATGCTACTTAGAATAGGGAAAGTTATCTAGAAGAACACTAAGAAAAGGTTAGTGACTACCTTCAAGGAGAACTGGAAATCTAGTAAGAGGATGGAACGAAGACTGTCTTTTCACTGAATAAGTTAGTTAGTTCTTTTACAATTTTAATTACTGTGTGACGCACATGTACATGTATGTATCAATGTATAAGTTCAGGCTTAATTGTATATACTCTGTCATTAGCAATGCCTCAGGTAACAATACTAATGGATTTTAATGTTAATATGGTTGGAAGAGTATTCTTGAGTACTGAATTCAGGGATATTTAGGTGTGTATGTTTTGTGGGGTTTTTTTTTTCTTCTGTTTAGGAAAAGCAAGAAACTGTAATGGATTCATCACCTTTTCGGAGGTTACAAACTTCTTAGAGAATCTGACTAAAGCTACATACTCTTCAAAAAATATAAACATACTTAACCGTATTTTTCGGACCATAAGACGCACTTTTTCCCCCCAGAAGAAAAAGTCCCTGCGTCTTATGGTCCAAATATAGCCTACACATATACTTAAAAAAAAAAAGTTTTTTTACTTGCCCGGCTGTGTGGTCTCTGTGTGCTTGCCCGGCTCTAAAATGGTTCTAAATGCTGCTGTTTACTTTACAGGGTTGATTACATGTGTTTATGACTGTGATGTTGGGTTTCAATGCACAAAATATTTTAGGACACTATTTGTTTCAGAATCTTTTTTTCTTCATTTCCCTTCTCTGGTGCGTCTTATGGTCCGGTGTGTCTTATGGTCTGAAAAATACGGTATATTTGAGGGATTCTATTTTGTGACCCAACACAGCAACTTTCTACTTCTCACTATAAAAACGCTTTGCATTGCTGAAATCAGTTTGGCTCAGTGGATAGAGCGTCGGTCTGTGGACTGAAAGGTCCTGGGTTCGATTCTGGTCAAGGCATGTACCTTGGTTGTGGGTACATCCCCAGTAGGGGATATGCAAAAAGCAGCTGATCGATGATTCTCTCTCATCAAAGTTTCTAACTCTCTATCCCTCTCTCTTCCTCTCTGTAAAAAATCAATAAAATAAATTAAAAACAAAAACAATGCTCTGCACTACTGCAGTTGTCTAGAGTCATTATGTCTTATCTAAATATCAAATAAAGGGCAATATGCAAACTAACCATCATTCCACTATACCCACAAGCCATGCCCATCAGCCAATCAGGAGCAAGTATGCAAATTAACCCAACCAAGATGGCTGTGGCCACGGAGAGAGCAGGAGGCTTAGGTTTCCCCAGCAACGGAGGAAGCCAAGTTTTTTGCATATCCTGGTGGGCCCAGGCCCCCACTCAAGGCTACCCAGTTTCAATTATAGAAGATAAATAAATCCCAACAATGGTGGCAGCCACGGAGCTGGAGCGAGCAGGAGGCTTGGGTTGCCCCCAGTGATAGAGGAAGCTTAGCTCCCACAGCCCTGGCCTCCGCTACAAAGTTTCAATTATAGAAATAAATAAATCCCAACATAAATGGCTGCAGCCATGGAGCAAGCAGAAGGCTTGGTTCTGCTCAAGACCACAAAGTTTCAATTATAAATCCCAGATACCAGGGCCTCAGCTTGGGTCTCCAGGCTTGCAAACCACCACAGGCCCCTTGCCCAGGCCACCCCATGCGCCAAGGAATCCCCACCCTGATCCGGGATACCCTTCAAGGCAAACCAGCTGCCCCCCACCCATGCACCAGGCCTCTATCCTAATAAAAGAGTAATATGCAAATTAACCATCACTCCAATATACAAGATAGCTGCCCCCATGTGGATACAAGATGGCCGCCACAAGATGGCCAGAAGGGGAGGGTACTTTGGAGGGACCAGACCAAGGAGGGCAGTTGTGGGCGATCAGGCCAGCAGGGGAGGGCATTTGGGAGGGACCAGGCCTGCAAGGGAGGGCAGTTGGGGGCAATCAAGCCTGCAGGGGAGGGCAGTTAGGGGTGACCAGGCCAGTAGAGGAAGGAAATTGGGGGCAACTGGGCCTACATGAAAGAGCAGTTGGGGGAGGATCCAGGCCTGCAGGGGAGGGCAGTTAAGGGTGACCAGTCCTGCAGGGGAGGGTAGTTAGGGGTGACCAGGCTGGCAAGGGAGCAGTTAGTCATCAATCAGACTGTCAGGGGAGTCGTTAGGGGGTGATCAAGCTGGCAGGGGAGTGATTAGAGGGTGATCAGGCTGGCAGGCAGAAGCAGTTAGGGGCAATTAGGGAGGCAGGCAGGCAAGCAGTTAGGAGCCAGCAGTCCTGGATTGTAAGAGGGATGTCTGATTGCCCCTTTAGGCCCGAATCCTACTGGAATCGGGCCTAAACGGGTAGTCGGACATCTATCAAGGGATCCCAGATTGGAGAGGTTGCAGGCTGGGCTGAGGGACACACACCCCATGCACGAATTTCATGCACCGAACTTCTAGTAGATCCATATAATCCAAACTACTTAATAAAAGAATACTCAGGTAAAGTTTACTGGAATATTTACTTTAGTGTTTATGTATCTCAATTTGTGTCCCTCTGCCAGCACTTATGTCTGGGAGAAAGTTGCCCCTCCAGCTCTCACCCTGATGTCAGATACTTCAGTTCCTCCCCATATAGTCAGTCCCTGGTTGCTTTCAAGCTGCTGCCCTGTTAGAGCTCAGAGGAGCAAGTCTGAGTAAGTGTGCACAGGACCTTTTGAGGAGCTGCATAGGACTCCAGCTACATGGGACTCTGCCTCACTTAGCCACAATCCCTGCTGGTTTTTACAGGCAGAAGTTTTGGGGATTTTTCTTCCCAAAACAGGAACCCTGGGTTGGGAGCTTGGTGTGGGGGTGGGACCCCTTACTCTTCAGGGGTAACCTCTGCACCTGAGATATTCCTTTGATTTTTATCCACCACATCTGGGAATGGGACCAGCTCATTCTGCACCTCCACTCCTTTTTTTTTTCTCTTTAATATATTTTTATTGATTTCAGAGAGGGAGAGAGAGAAACATCAATGATGAGAATCATTGATTGGCTGCATCCTGCACATCCCTTACTGGAGATTAAGCCCACAACCCAGGCATGTGCTCTTGGCTGGAATCAAACCTGGAACTCTTCAGTCCACAGGCCAACACTATCCACTGAGCCAAACAAGCTAGGATTCCTTCTACCAGTCTTGATGTGGCTTCTTCTTTAATATTCTTAGTTATATGACTTCCGTTCAGCTCGGTTTCAGGTGGTTCTAAGTCATGGCTAGTCTGTAATGTAGTTGTACTTTTGAAATGGTTGTGGAGTATGAAACACAGCATTTACCTACTCATCTTGACCAGAAAACCACTCATTCTATCATATAATATGAAGCCAGAAGTAAATTTTATATTCTTGACTATCCTGTATAGAGAAAAACCAAGTCAAAGTCAAATTACTAATCTTACAGGCTCTCAAATCCATTTGAAGACAGCTTTTCATTAAATTCATTTAACCTTAATATATAAGAAATTGCCACTCACGAAGAATGATCATTAGTGAAGTGATTTTAGAGAAATCTTCCATCCTTCTGAATGAATGCAATTATTTTGTCGGTTTTTATAATGTTTGATAAAAGCATATTAAATGGCTATAGTGATGTATTTGTTTACAGATAGGATTACCCTTGTTTAAGTTCATAAACTACTCCTAACCTGTAGTAGAATTCTCCTATTCAGGATTCAGTATCTTTGAAAAGTGAAATTCTTTGGTTGAATAGTTTTTTTAATAGACATTTTCAAAATATATAAAAGCAGAGAGGTCATTTTATGAACCCCTGTGTAAGCTTAATCAGTCTTCAGTAACTGTCAGTGCATGGTCAATTTTGTTTTATTTTTTTCCTTCCCAACCCACCCACCTTACTGGATTGCTTTGAGAAAAATCCTAACATATAATTTCATTTCTGAATTCTTAAATATGTTTTATGGGTATAATTATAAAAAATTATCCTTTTATTTTTGGCAGGACATTTTGGCAGTTAGATCATGGCAACCATAGAAGAAATTGCACATCAAATTATTGAACAACAGATGGGAGAGGTATGGTTAGTTTATAGTTTATTCACTGGTTCACTTAACTACATCAAATGTATATACTAGGTTCTGAAATACAGTGATAAAAGATGGCAATTTTGTCCTCCAAATTCCTCAGGCCAAGATTTTGTAGTCATCCTTGACTCTTTCCTTACATTCCACATCCAGTCCCTTCAGTTCATCTTGTCACCTTTCCTTTCTTAAAATACAAATTCAGGTGTCCCCCACCTCCCCAGTATGGCTATTTCCCTGTTATCAGCCATTATCTCTGCCAATATATAATAATCAAATATTACCACTTTCTGTGCACTAACATCCTTTCTGATTTCCCTTAATTCTACTCTTGAACAATCACAGTCTAGTCTTCACACTAAATATAGAATGATCCTTTTTAAAAATATATATTTTATTGATTTTTTTTATAGAGAGAAAGAGAGAGTGCTAGAGAGTTAGAAACATCGATGAGAGAGACACATCGATCAGCTGCCTCCTGCACACCCGCTACTGGTGATGTGCCCGCAACCAAGGTACATGCCCTTGACAGGAATCAAACCTGGGACCTTTCATTCTGCAGGCTGATGCTCTATCCACTGAGCCAAACTGGTTTCAGCTAGAATGGGTCCTTTTTGAAAAAGATCCTGGCACACCTCTGCTTCATAAGCCCTTCAATGTATCTCCATTTTATACAGTAGGAAATCCAGAACTTGAAAAGCTTTATGAGAAAAACTTTTGTTGCTCTATTTTAGGATCCAGTACAAACAGTGCTTTGCAAATAGAATACACCCAACGTATGCTTGTCTAAATGGAAGGTGAAAGGGAAGGGGAAGGAAGGAATCAATTTAGTGAGGTCTGAATGTTCTTACTGTTGTACCTTTATTTATTTTACATTTGTTTATTTCTGTAAGATAGGGTTTCCTGGAAGTAGAATTGCTAATTTAAAGGCGTGTATGTGTGATATATTGAATATATATGTGATGAACTGGCAGCGGCAATTCTTGTGTGACACACCCTGGAACCAGAGAGGAGGGAGCCTGATTCCAGGGTGCGTCACTCGAGAACTGACCTCTCACAACCCGGGAACCCTGGCAGATATCTGAGAGCCAGTTTTGGTCGGATTCCCCACAGGCCAGGCTGAGGGACCCCATTTACTCTGAAGAGAGCCCTTCGAGCCGTGGTGCCACCCCAAGTGTGGCCAGCCGGGGAGGGACCGAGGGAAGTTGGCTCAAGGGCATGTCCGGTCTATCTCGCCCAGTTCCATCCTGTTGGCCACCCTCTAATTAATTTCCTTTCCATGTGGACAAATCCATGCACCAGGGCACTAGTATTGAATATATGTGTGATGGGAATGCTTTTCCAGCTTTGTCTGAAGCTATGACAAAATTGTGTTCTTTAAGAGAGAGAAAATTGATTTGATTATTAATTTTACATGATTGTGTTAGGTTGTTACAGAGCAGCAAACTGGCCAAAAAATCCAGATTGTGACAGCACTTGATCATAACACACAAGGCAAGCAGTTCATTCTGACAAATCATGATGTCTCTGCTCCAAGCAAAGTCATTCTGGCCAGGCAAGATTCCACACCTGGGAAAGTTTTTCTCACAACTCCTGACGCAGCAGGTGTCAACCAGTTATTTTTTACAACTCCTGATCTGTCTGCACAACACCTCCAGGTAAATAACCATAGCATGTCTTTGTATCTTACACTTGAAAAGAATTAAAAAGCATGTCATAAGTATGCTCTTAGTTACATACAGTAAGTTCCACTCTGGCAAGTTTGGCAGGAAGGGACTTAATATAGAATATAAAGAGCTCAAAGAATTGTTGGGAGGCTGAAGAAACAGTTTGAGGTCAGGTTTCCAAAAATGACTACTGGAGCACACTTGAGAACTACTTCTAAGAGACCTGCTGCTTCTGCACAGTTAGGAAACTGCCAGATCAGGAGCATCTTCTGTGGCTTCAGTTTCTAGGACCAAGCTGCCTGTGCCTTGAACCAGCAGCATCCATGTTAAGAAGTTGTTATCATAGCTGCTGTCTTTGTCAGTTCACCTCTTCTGTTGTCATCTACATCTTCGTTGATAAAGAAGCCATTTACTCTATGGTCTCCTTTAATATTCAAACTCAGTAGAGTGTAGATTACATTGTGTTAGTGTTAATTTTTGACAGTTATGTATTATACTTCAAGAGCCAGTTAGGGTTTTTTTTTGTTTGTTTGTTTGTTTTTTAAATATATTTTATTGATTTTGTACAGAGAGGAAGGGAGAGAGATAGAGAGTTAGAAATATCGATGAGAGAGAGTCATTGATCAGCTGCCTCTTGCACACCCCCTACCGGGGATGCGCCCGCAACCAAGGTACATGCCCTTGACCGGAATCGAACCCGGGTCCCTTCAGTCCCCAAGCCGACGCTCTATCCATTGAGCCAAACCGGTCCTGGCTAAGAGCCAGTTAGGGTTTTTACACACTGCATGCCTATGGTTATGTAGATATTTTTACTGCTGGTTGTTACAATTGAATACAAATACAGTGAACCATTAAGTTTGCCTCTAGAGAGATTTTGGGTGAGTGCCCACTTAAAATTGGATTCCACCTTTTTTTAATGAAAAACCGATCAAAGAAAATTCCTTTCAGGATTGAAAAACTCCTAATTCATAAAATAAAAAATCTTGCCAAGGTATCCTATTGGATTTTCTTCTTTCAGATACATCATTTTTAGAAACTGCTGAGGTAGAAAATGGATAGGCGTTACTAAAAAAATGTATAACATTATACATACCCTAATTTCTTTATTTTATTAACAAATTTGATTTTTTGAAGTTTTACATTAATAGAAATATAAGCAGTTAATATGCAGAGTTCTCATAGAACCGCCAAACACAAAGTTTCTCCTGTTTTAACATTTTGCATTAGGTTTACACATTGTTATAATTAACGAATTAATATTGATACATTATTAACTAAAATAGATATTTTTCTTTTCCTGATTTTTACCTAGTATTATTTTTGTCTCAGGCTACCATATTGCATTTAGTTGTCATATCTCCATAAATTCCTCTTACCTATGACAATTTCTTATACTTTCCTTGTATTTGATTACCTTGACAGTTTTGTGATGTACTGGTCAGGTAAAGTGTAGGTTGCCTCACTCTGAGACCTTGGCTTATATTTTTCTCATGTTCGATTGGATTGTGGGTTTTGGGAAAAAGGGTCACAGAGTTTAAGTGCCATTTTCATTACATTATATCAAGGGTACTTACTATCATCACACCTTAACCTTGATCTTCTGGCTGAAGAAATAAGTGTCAGGTTTTTACTCTTAAAAAAAAATTGTATTATGAACATGGAAGTAAGATTGGTATTTTGACTACTTCGTGGATTATTATTAAGGGCAATGAAAGAAAAACAAATATAGGATGGAATTTCTTGGACCAAGAAGATTTGATTTTTGGTCTGTTGACCTAAGATGGCATATGGGCAAGTCCCTTGCCCTCTCAATATCTCTTCTACCCTTAGAAATACACAGTACATAAAATATTAACACCTTTTGCATGCCATTGACTGGAATTGAACCTGGGACCTTTCAGTCCGCAGGCCGACGCTCTGTCCACTGAACCGGTTTTGGCGAGGTTCTAATAGATGTGAAATTGAGGAAAAGATGCCGAAACTGGTTTCAGCAAGGTTCTAAACTTTTTTTTTTTTTTTTTTGGCTCAGTGGTAGAGCGTCGGTCTGCGGACCGAAAGGTCCCAGGTTCAATTCTGGTCAGGGGCATGTACGTTGGTTGTGGGCACATCCCCGGTGGGGGGTATGCAAGAGGCAGCTGGTCAATGTTTCTCTCTCATCGACGTTTCTAGTTCTCTATCTCTCTCCCTTCCTCTCTGTGGAAAAATCAATAAAATATATTTTTTTAAAAATTGAGGAAAAGAATGATATTTGTATTAGATGCTTTCAAAAGACATCTAATAGAATTTTTAAAAAAAGATTTTATTGACTGATTTTTTTGTAATATAAAAATAAATGATAGCACTATAACATAACAAAAGACAGTTATTTTAAGAACTGTTTAAATTTTTTAAAATCAGAATTACTTCATAAGGCATTCACACCCTTAAGAGAAGAAAAGGAGTCAAAGTAGAGGATTACTTTGTGGGTTGTTTAAAGCAGGGGAAAGGTATTTACTAAATGCAATATCACATTTTGGGGATTGAAAGGAATTTGTTCATTTTTCAAAAGATTGAAAGAATATGAAGAAAAGGTTGAAGGATAAGCCTAAAAGAAGAAACTAGTATTTCTTTACCAGCATTAGTTGTACTTGGTGAATTTTTTATATAATCGAAAGAGGCTTAGTAATTTACCCAAGGCTATTCCACCTAGTCACACTAACTTGCTACCATTTATGAGTCCACGCTCTCAACCACTTCACCTAGCCCAAACTTAAGACGCTCATTAATAAAAAGTTTATTTATACCTTTGTCTTTTACCAATTATATTTTCATAATTATAAAGTTAATACATCAACAAAATATTTTTCTTTTAAAAAATTGCTGGTTTTTTATGCCATAATAGCATATTTTAGTCCTGTCATTCCAGTGTAAAAGTTCTAAATTTTTATTTATTTTTAAAATATATTTTATTGATTTTTTTACAGAGAGGAAGAGAGAGAGATAGAGAGCTAGAAACGTCGATGAGAGAGAAACATCAACCAGCTGCCTCTTGCACACCCCCTACTGGAGATGTGCCCGCAACCAAGGTACATGCCCTTGACCGGACTCGAACCTGGGATCTTTCAGTCCGCAGACCAACGCTCTTCCACTGAGCCAAACCGGCTTCGGCGGTTCTAAACTTTTTAAAGACAAATGTCATGATAGGATTGATAACTTTACGATAATTTGACAAGTTCCATATGCATGTTAAATGCTTAATCTGTGAGATGCATTAAAAACTACTTATGTATTCATGTGTTTAACAGTCATGACTTAAGTTTTTATGGACAAATTAAAAAAAGGTATCTTACTGTTGTTGCTTATTATAACATTGAAATTTTTACATATATGTTAAGAAAATTACAAATATTGTAGTTTATTTGATATATACATAATAATAGAGTATAAAGTTTCAAAATAACTTAAAAAGGAAGCAAAAAGTAAGACTGAATGTTCTTTTTTTATGTGAGAGCAATACTGAATAGTAACATTGTTGTGTTTTGTTTTTGTTTACTTTAGTTCTTAACAGATAATTCTTCTTCAGACCAAGGACCAAATAAGATTTTTGATCTTTGCGTAGTATGTGGAGACAAAGCATCAGGTAACATTAAAAATAATTTCCTATATGTGTTGTGTTATTAAAATAACTATCACACTACCATGAAAGTAAAAAGAAAAATAAAGGCGCTTGTAGTTTGTGGTTTATAATTTATAATTATGAAATTTAACTGATTTTTCCCGAGATTTTTATTCATGTAAAAATTTTTCTCTTCAATACCGTTTAATTTGATCTGTCAGTGAAGAAAATTTATATTTCAGAGCATTATGAAATGCAGTTGCCATTTTTTGTTGTTGTTAATCCTCACCTAAGGATATTTTTCCCATTGATTTTTAGAGAAAGGGGAAGGGAGGGAGGATGGGAGTAGAGAGAGAGAAACATTAATGTGAACCTGTTACTAGTATTCAGGGCTATGTCATTTTAGCTCTGGCTATTGTTACCTCATGCCAGAAATACAAACCAGTGTTCATTCGAATGCATTTATAAATGCCAGTGTGATATAATTTAAGGGCCTGGTTTGTTTAATTTTCTTTAAACTAGCCCATCACTTAATTACAAAAATCTCCACTAGAGCTTTACTTAGAGGATGTTCAGTTTGTTAATAGATGTGCCAAAGAAGTGGTTTGTGAAATGATAGGCTGATCAGAGCACTACAGATATTTCCAGAGATTTAAAAAATGGAACTCACAGTGGTACATTTACACCATGGAATACTATGCAGCTGTAAAAAAAGAAGGATCTCTTACCCTTTGAGATAGCATGGAGGGACCTGGAGAGTATTATGTTAAGTGAAATTAGCCACTAAGAGAAAGACAAGTATCATATGATCTCACTCATATGTGGAATATGATTAACAAAATAGATCCATAGTCTTAGAAGCATGGAATAGACTGATGAATCTCAGAGGAAAGACAGGGGTAAGTAGGAAGAATTTAATCAAAGAACTTATATGCATATATGCATAACCCATGGACACTGACAATAGCGTGGTGAAGGCCTGGGTAAAGGGGGTCAATGGGGAAAGAATGGAGGACATTTGTAATACTTTCAACAATATAAATAAATAAATAAATAAATAAATAAATAAATAAATAAAAAATAAATAAATAAATAAATAAAAAAACAGCCGAAACCGGTTTGGCTCGGTGGATAGAGCGTCGGCTGCGGACTGAAAGGTCCCAGGTTCAATTCCAGTCAAGGGCCTATACCTTGGTTGTGGGCACATCCCCAGTAGGGGGTGTGCAAAAGGCAGCTGATCGATGATTCTCTCTCATCAATGTTTCTAACTCTCTATCCCTCTCTCTTCCTCTCTGTAAAAACTCAATAAAATATATTATAAATAAATACATAAATAAAAACAAATTTGGTGGACAAAAAAACACTAACTTACAGTGAGGAAGGATTATTACAGTTCAGATACTAACTGATATATCTTTTTTTGGAGCATAATTTTTAGATTGAAATATGCAGTATATAATAATTTATGATATCAGAAGTGAAAATAGTTATGTTATAAAATTAAAAACACTGGCATTATTTAATATAATCTTATCAAAGAATATGGTTGTTTTCATTTTCTGTTTGGAAACTCCTATGCATTTTTTTCATGTCATAAACTCAAAAGTGTCAGTTTCATCTCAGATATGATGTTTAAAGGGAAAAAATGGGCTTATTTCATTTCTGTTCTAAAATATATGACTTCTAAATATTTTATCTCTAGGGCGTCATTATGGAGCAATAACTTGTGAAGGCTGCAAAGGATTTTTTAAACGAAGTATCCGAAAAAATTTAGTTTACTCATGTCGAGGATCTAAGGACTGTATTATCAATAAACACCATCGAAACCGCTGTCAATATTGCAGGTTACAGAGATGTATTGCGTTTGGAATGAAACAAGACTGTATGTATTAGCTTTAAAGGAGAAAATTAAGAACTCAGGCAAACTCTAGAAGTATGTTAAAATTAGCACATTAAAATGTCAATATTATATGCTTTTTAATTTACCGTTTTCCAACTAAAAGTATAGAAATACTTAATACCTACATGTGTATTTTTAATTCACTCAACAAATAGTTTTTGATTGCCTGTATGCCAGTTGTGTATTTCTAGTTTGAACAAAGTAAAAAAAAAAAAAAGCACAATTAACTAAGTTTAGTTTTTGGTAGCTATTATTGAGTAAGCTCTAACTATGCCTAATAACTTTCTTATTCTCACAGCAGAATTCTGTTCAGTAGGTACTATTGTTACCTATTTTACACTTGAGTAAGCAAATTTAGTAACTTGTTCTAGGTCACGAAACTATTAAATGGCAAAACTTGGATTTGAATATTGGTAGTTTCTAGTGCATAGGAGGATGCCCAACCATCTGAGCCCCACTGGCCAGGGTTTGACTGAGATTATCCTATCTAATGAAAGTATAATGTAAATTGACTATCACTCCAACACACAAGATGGCCATCCCATATGGTCAAAGATGGCTCTCCCATGTGGACACAAGATGGCCGGCAGGGGAGGGCAGTTGGAAGGGACCAAGCCTGTGAGGGAGGGTAGTTGGGAGCAATCAGGCCTCAGGGGAGGGCAGTTAATGGTGACCAGCTGGCAGAGGAGGGCAATTGGGGGGTTATCAGGCCTGCAGGGGAGAGCAGTTAGGGGTGACCAGGCCTGTAGGGGTGGGCAGTTAGGAGAGACCAGGCTGGTAGGGAAGGGCAGTTAGGTGTCAATCAGGCTGGCAGGGGAGTAGTTAGGGGCTGATCAGGCTGGCAGGAAGGGGCAATCGGGCAGGCAGGCTGGCAGATAAGCAGTTGAGCCACCAGTCCTGGATTGTAAGATGGATGTCCGACTGCCCATTTAGTGGGATTGGGCCTAAACGGGTAGTTGGACATCCCTCGAGGGGTCCCAGATTGGAGAGAGTATAGGGTGGGTTGAGGGACACACACACCTCATGCACAAATTTCGTGCACCAAGCCTCTAGTAAAAAATAAGAATTCATCTACATTTCTACCACATTAGTGACAGAAAGAGAAAAGAATTCATAATGGTCACTTTTACATTAACTATTATAGTTTACTAAAACAGCTTTGTCAAATATGCAAATAATTTCTAAAGATTGATGGTTGGTTATCTTTGGAGTTCTTTTATAATAACCATGTCTTCAGTTAGCCACATTGCTGACCTAGAATTTACATTATAATTGCCTGTAAATTTTGCCTTGTAACAGTCTACCACATTTTTGTAGCTGTACAGTGTGAAAGGAAACCTATTGAAGTATCAAGAGAAAAATCTTCCAACTGTGCCGCTTCAACAGAAAAAATCTACATCCGAAAAGACCTTCGAAGCCCATTAGCTGCAACTCCAACTTTTGTAACAGATAGTGAAACTGCAAGGTGTAGTAAATACAGCAAACAAAATATTGAGTAGCTGGTCATTTGTTTTTCTTCCCACTGAAACTAAGGCTGAAATTTGTTCTTATTTGTTACAGGTCAGCAGGATTGTTAGACTCAGGAATGTTTGTGAATATTCATTCGTCTGGAATAAAAACTGAGTCCTCAACGCTGATGACACCAGATAAGGTGTGTTTAGTGGAATTAGTGTAAAGATTAAACATTTTTAAGCTTTTAAAATGGTTTCCTTTATTTCTATAAATTTAGTCAATTGATTTGGTCATAAATATTCCCTATTACAAGTTGCTTTTAAAAAAAATATGTAAATTATCAACTGTCTCATAGTGCCAAATAACAAAACTAAAACAATTTAGTTAGGAGTTCAATGTCCTTTATTCAAGGGGAAACAACCCATGCATTGGGAGAGAACAGTGTCTCCTCATAAGCAATGGAACATTCTTCCCCAGGAGAGTTTGGGCAAGAGTGAGTTTTACAGAACATTAGAAGCAGCAGCAAGAACACAGCATGATTAGCTGCAAAGTCAGGGATTTCCTCCTAAGGCCAGCAGGTCCTGTTTTCCTAGGGTAAGTACAGAGTACAGGCTGGCTTAGTTTAGATTTGTGACATTGGTGGAGCCAGTGTAGCACCCTCCATTTTGTGAATCCCAATACTATAGGAATTTTATCAGTAGAAATATTATTCCACTAGGACAGTTACAGCTTCAATGTGAAAGTGATAAACATTAAAAAGTCTTCCAGATTTTTTCATCCTATCTAATAAAGAGTGAATATGCTAATTGACCATCACACTGTTGCAAAGATGATGGTGCCCACAGCCAATAGGAGGGAATATGCTAATTGACTGTCCCACCCTCAAAGATGGTGGTGCCCACAGCTACAAAGTGGTGGCCCTCAGTACCCTCAGCCCTTCTGGATGGAGGCACAAGGCAAGGCCTGGCCTGCCCCACACACCTGTTTCTGAGCCCCCTTGTCCCCTCAGCCCCCCGGCCACCCAGGGCCAGCCTGAGGCACAGGCAAGCCTTGGATGTTGGCTGCCCAGCAGCCCAGGGGCTCCTGAGACTCAGGTAACCAGAGCTGGCTGAGCTTTGTGCTGCCGGCAGTGGCAGCAGTAGGAGGTGTAATGGGACATCACCAGGTCACCTCCTGCCCCTTAGTGCTCCTGGACCGTGAGGCGGCAAGCCAGGCTGAGGGATCCCCCCTCCAGTGCATGATTTTTATGCACCAGGCCTCTAGTACTGAAATAAAAGTCATCATAAATAGGTATTTATAATAAGTGGGGGAAAAATTAGTATTCCTATACTCAGCCCTTGTAGCTCAATGGTTGAATGTTGACCCGGGAACCAAGAGGTCATAGGTTTGATTCATGCCTGGGTTGCGGCTTGATCCCATTAGCGTGGCATGCAGGAAGCTGCTGATTGATGTTTCTCATCAATGGATGTTTCTTTCTCTACCCCTCTCACCTGTCTCTTAAAAAGATTAATGAAAATATTTAAAAATTTTTAATATTCCTGTTATATTTCACTACAGATTATATAGTGCCAAGAGAAATTCCTAACACACCTGACTCAAATCACCAACTTGAGTTCAGGCGACTGATGGGGTCCCTCAGCCTGGCCTGTAAGGTTCTTCATCCTATTTATGGTCAGATTTGTTATATATCAATTAATACTTTAAGGCACTCTTTTTTAAAAAAAATTTATTGAATTCAGACAGGAAGGGAGAGGTAGAGAAAGATAAAAACATCAATATAAGAGAGAAACACTAGCCAAAACCGGTTTGGCTCAGTGGTAGAGCGTCGGTCTGCGGACTGAAAGGTCCCAGGTTCGATTCCGATCAGGGGCATGTACATTGGTTGCGGGCACATCCCCGGGATGGGGGGTGCAGGAGGCAGCTGGTTGATGTTTTTCTCCCATCGACGTTTCTAGCTCTCTCTCTCTCTCCCTTTCTCTCTGTAAAAAAATCAATAAAAATATATTTTTTTAAAAAAAGAGAGAGAGAGAGAGAGAGAGAGAGAGAGAGAGAGAGAGAAACTGACTGTCTCCTTCACACCCCCTACTAGGGATTGAGCCTACAACCCAGGCATGTGCCTTGACCCAGAATCAAACCATGACTTCCTTGTTCATAGGTTGACATTCTACCACTGAGCCACACCAGCTAGGGCAAGGCACTCTTAATACTTGTGCTCTTGAGTCTAATTTCAGCTGCCACCTGCTAGCTGCATAACCTTGGGCAAGTTATTTGACCTCTCTGTCTCATTTTACTTTTTTATCTGTAAAATAGGGATAATGAGAGAGTCAACTTAACAGATCAGGCGTTAGCATGCTGCTACTAAATGATGAGATTTGGCCTCTTACCATATATTTTGGAGTTAGGAGATTTAGCCTTGTCTAAATGATTCAAGGTTACATTACTACTTAGAATTTTATTTGTATATTAACTCCTTTGGGAAAGGAAAAGAACTAAGTTTTGTTGAGAAATGACTATTTGTCCAGATATTGTACAGTCTATATATCTTTGTGGGGGTTTTTTGTTTGTTTGTTTTGTGTTTTTTTTAAATATATATTTTATTGATTTTACACAGAGAGGAATTGAGAGGGATAGAGAGTTAGAAACGTCGATGAGAGAGAAACATCAACCAGCTGCCTCTTGCACACCCCCTACTGGGGATGTGCCCGCAACCAAGGTACATGCCCTTGACCGGAATCGAACCCGGGACCTTTCAGTCCGCAGGCCGACGCTCTATCCACTGAGCCAAACTGGTCCCGCCTTTATATCTTTGATTTAATTGTAATACCAACCTTATGTGATAAGATTCTGACAAATGGTCCCCAAACTTTCAAGTCACAGGCTGAGTGAGGTCTTTCCACAATGCCCAAGAGTGGCGAAAATTAAAATTTTTATTTACATAGACCTGTTATGAAATGGAAGAGAATATATGTATTTAAGTTTTAGTTGAAAAATGTTAAATTTTTATTTTAGTTTTTTTTTTTTTTTTGTTAATCCCCCTCCGAGAATATTTTTCCATTGATTTTTAGTGAGCGTAGAAGAGAGAGGGAAAGTCAGAGAGAAACATTGATGTGAGGGAAACACACCAGCTGGTTGCCTCCTGCACAAGCCCTGACCAGGGCCTGGCCCGGGGAGGAACCTGCAACCAAGGTGTGTGCCCCTGACTGGAGTTAGAGCATCCACGGGCTGACGCTCTGTCTACTGAGCCAAAACTGGCTAGGGCAAATCTTTTACTCATATATAAGAAGGCTACAGCAGAATGGTTAGGAACATGGGTTTTCCCATCAGACCTGGCTTCCCACTCTGCTTCCCCTATCTACTGCTGGAGTGACAATGGATAATTCTTATCAATAAAGGGATGATGATTCCTATTTCAGTGTTGTTATTAGGATTAAATAAAATATATAAGTAGTGATGCAAGAACTCAGTAACTGGTGGGTTGCTCAGTAAATGGTTCAGGGACCATTCATTCATTTGGGGAGAACTCAATTATTTCATTCTACTTATTCACTAAAATTAATTTCACAAATACTAAAGAATTACCATAATAAATGAATCACAGAAACATGTTTTCTCTTAGGATTAAGAACACTGAAAAAAAAAAAAACCATAAAGGAAGAACAAAAAATACCATTAAAGGATCCTGTCAATACATCAGATAAGGCAACTGAAGGTTAGGGTGGAATAATTTGAACATTTAAAAAAATAATGACTAATGGATTAAAAAACATCAATATATAAAAACTAATATGAATTTAAAATGATACTCAAAACTCACTATCACCATTAGAGGTTGCTATGACATTGACTTACTGCTTTACAAATTGAAGAATAAAAGGAAGAAGAATCAAGCACTTAACTGCCTTTGTACAAATTATATTTCGAGGTAATCAGAGTTAAGGAAAGTTGTTTTTAATAAGCTAATTAACACATAAATATATACAAACATGCACCAGTAACAAAAATAAAAGCTGAAGGCAAATGGGAAAATAATGTAATGTATAAAAATAGCCCAGTATCTTAAATATTTAAGATTTTTGGACTGCACATTTCCTGGTATTTACCTGGTAAAAGTTGATATCCTAGGAAGTCTGTTCAATAATACTTTTTCATTTTCCCTTCTTTTCACTAATCATTTTATTACATTCTTTTTACTTTCTAATTTATGATTTGGAAATTATAACAATTTCAAAATTTTAAATGGATAATCTAATAGCCTTTTTATTTTTATTTTATCCTCACCAAGGATAATAAGTTCTTATTGGTTTTAGAGAGAGAGGAAAAGTGAGAGATAGAGGCATTGATGTAAAACATTGATTGATTGCCTCCCATATTGCTGCACCGGGTTTCAAACCCACAACCTAGGTATGTGCTGTGACTGGGAATTGAACCTAAAACCTTTTGGTGTACAGCTTGACTTGCCAACCAATTGAGCCACCTGACCAGGTAATTTAATAGCCTTTTAAGTGACTGTGACATGGATGGATAGGTGAGCCGTTAAGTGTCCTTTTTGATTTGAAGTAACTTTTGTATAACATTTTGTTGTAAACATAGTAAATGTACCTGATGTTTTTAAACATGTATTTTCCTCAAGAAGCTTCTAAGTGCTCACAGCTCTTTGATTTTACTTTTTAAATTTCATCTTAGAGTACTTTTATTTTGGCATTTCATAATCTGTAATTGGATATTTCAGATTTAAAAGTTTATAGATACCTACTTGCAGATTTAATTTTTCTTTTTCTTTTTTTTAAGGCTGATTCATGTCAAGGAGATTTAAGTACATTGGCCAGTGTGGTTACATCTTTAGCAAATCTTGGAAAAACTAAAGATCTTTTTCAAAATAGTAATAAAATGTCTGTGACTGAAGGATTAAGTAATGGTGATACCTCTTTGTGTGAATTTAATCAAGAAATTCATACCAACGGTGATGTTTCAAGGTAAGGTCTGTTTTGATCTTAAGTGTCCTTTTGTTTAAGTGTCTTTTAGTATTTCTTAAGATATTTTTATGTTGAACACTATAGAAGTTTCAAAAAACGGTATTTCTTTAGGTTTAGAAAATGTAAGGCATAGTCAGTTTTAACTAAAAAATTCCATTCTATGTAAAATGTTTTCCAGCAGGTTACATTATAAATAATGAGCAATAATTGAATATTATTATATGTTAGAAATGTAGTTATAAAATCCAGGAATTTTTTTTCCACTGAAGATGATCATGTGGGTCTGAAATTTCATACTTAGTTTAGTTGTCAGATTTTATCTTCTGTGTATTTAGAGTTAATCATTTATCTTTATTAGAGAGTCATGTTCATTTTCCCCATCATTTTTTAGTGATGAAATATATTTAAAGATTTAGTTAAATCAAATTTTTAAGTTACACTTCCGGAAACTCATCAGAATTATATTTTCCATTCTCTCAATATTAATACTTAGTATGTAGAAACCAGATTTCTTTAGGCTTTTTTCTTCTTTCCATCACCTCAAATATTGAAGAAACTTCACTTAAGAATCTCATTAAGTACTTGGTTGAACAAGAGGTTTCAAGTAAATCTAGAAGGCATCTCATTAGAAAATATGGAGAACTACTTTGAATAATTATTTATTAACATTAGTTAATTATTTGCTATTCAAATCTCAGATTCTTACTGTTTAGATATAGCTATGTAACCACAAGTTTTAAAATATTCTCTGAATTATAAAATAAAATTAAAACCTAACTTTATGTTGTGTAGAGCACAGTCAAGTGTAAGTTCTAGCCCTTGTTCTTTCTAAATAACTGCTATATGTAAAATGAATGGGCTGATATCATGTAACAAATGTATAACTTGTAAAAGCATATTTTTATACCAAAGTATAAAAATTATACCTCCTTAATTCCATAATATTTTTTTAAAGACTAGTTCTCTGATAATACATTAATATATTTTTCATACTTATGAAGTCTTAATTTGTTTCTTTGGAGAGTCATAGATATCACTGAAATAGAGTGTTCAGTGATACACCAAAGTTTTACTTCCTAAACAGTTTTTAGGCCTAAATCTTAATTCCAGAATTTTATGTAGAATTTTTATTTTATTGTGGAGATGGCCAAGGTCACAGCTTCTGATGTCTCCTTATAGGGCATTTGACACTCTTGCAAAAGCATTGAATCCCGGAGAGAGCACAGCCTGTCAGAGCTCAGTAGAGGGCATGGAAGGAAACGTACACCTAATTGCTGGAGACTCGAGCATAAATTACATCGAAAAAGAGGGGCCGCTTCTCAGCGATTCACATGTAGCTTTCAGGGTATTTCCATATATATATATATATTTTATAGTTTTTGTGTTGTATTATCCATTTTCATTTTAATCTTCCTTTCAAAAATCAAAGTATATTTGTTGTGCTTTTAAAAGTCAGAAATATCCCTGATAGAATTCAAAACAGCAGCTAAAACATATACATCTGCCTACATAAAATAATGGCTTAATAAATCCTATTTCTAAGACATAGTTATAATATTAATTAATTGGCTTAAGTTTATAAAAGTTAGCTTTTAGAAATTTATACATACGTTGTTTCTTTTTTTTTAATTAAGCATTGGCAGCCATGATCTGTCAAATGCACTAGTTTGTTCAGTGTCTTACTACTATTACTACTTCAGTATAAACCAGTATCTAAGACTCAGATACTCTGCTCTTACCAGAGTAATTGCAGAGAACTCCACTTATTATGTATTACCCTAATTAGCTAGCTCTCAGAATTATTTTAAGAAGGTAAAAATCATTTAACAAATTTTAACTTTGTGTTAACTTTTAACACTTTAAGGATTTGGAGAAGGTACATTTGTAACTTATTTTCTGCTCCCCTAATATACATAAATTTATGGTGGAAACTACAGTTAGAATACTAGGAATAATACATATAAAACATTAGAAAATAACTTTATAATATTTTATTTGTAATACAGATGGTTGACATTCAGCTATAGATATGCTGACCATTGAGACCCTAATTAAAATCCAGCTGTTTTTGACCCTCCATTTTAACCACTTTGTATCTTTGCTCTGCCAACTAGCTGTGACAGCTGTTAGCAAATTATATGCAGAGTCTTTGGAAATATGTAGGACATTTAACAATATATATTCGTTCTGGAATACCTGAGTAATTTTGTTCATAACTTGACAATAGAATACACATTTCCATGAATTTTTTATGAAAACATATAGTTATCAAATAGATATGTGTCACTGGTAGAAATAAAGATCACAAAATTAATCTAATACTGGCCAAAATTGCATATAATTAAGTTTGTTTATGCAAATTTTAACTACTTGGTAGAAATAGCCACAGAGAAAACACAGTGATTTAAATAATAATTGCTCTAATTTGATAGTTAATAAAACATCAGTGAAACCAATCTTTATGTAAAATTTTACAAAGATAACATGAAAAAAAAAGAGAAAAGTTCTATTTCCATTGTATAAGAAAACTTACTAGGAAGGCTACAAGAGGAGGCAAGGGTAATAATCATTGTCATCCTTAAACATATGGACTGGGGTAGAGCAAAGCAAAACTGATTTTTCCCATTGCTCTTTCTTATTCTAAGTAAAAGATATTTTATTAGTTTTATTTTTCCTCTTTGGATTTAAGTGGGAAGGAAGGGTAAAAGAAGTAGAACCCATTGCAAGGAAAAGGTACTCAAAAATGCTTCTATTGAAAGTAGAAGTATTTCCAATAGTTCCCCATTTATATTGTTGATATTGGTCCTCAAAGTTTTTTTTCTTTTCTTCTTTCAAATATTTGTTTTGGACAGATGAATTAGGTAAACAGAACTTTTTCTTTTTTCCATTCCATCTTTATTCTATTATACTTGGGATATCCTCATAATCAGCACTGTAAAGTTTCTTGTTCTCCTATAAAAAGGACAGCTCCTTCTTTCCTTGAATCTTATTTACAGACTGTCAAGTCAGAGTCTCACTTTTTAGTGACTTCCCAGCTACTACCTTCAGGGTTAGTTCTTTCCTTAATGTTTTCTGATCATGAGTTTCAGGACATGCCATCTGTAATAAAAAAATAAATAAAAATGGATTTTTCTCCTGATTGCTGAGCTCAGAATAACATTTTGTTCCTTTCTTGCATTTTTATATACAGTGAATATAGTTTGCAGCAGCCTTTCACATTCATTCTTTCTTTTGAGCCTCACTACAGTCTATTAAGATGGTTCAGATTTTTATTGTCATTTTTCTGAATAAAAAAAGAGATTTGGAGGTTTTTAGTGTATTGTTAAAAGCAACCCAGACAGTAAGGAGAAATAGTCTAATAATGCTTCTTAAATTTTTATTCTGAAGAATCTAGGACTGCAGCAATATTTAACATTTCTGTTAAACTTCAGAGTTTTTGGTATGATTTCATATGCTTTGTCTCACTTGATTATTTCAATTTGCTTATACAAATAATCAAAGTGGATACTATTCCCATTTGGAAATAAGTGTTTGAGATAGAGGTAGGTGATTTCCTAAACTGTTCTCTAAAATTTATTATCCAAATATTAGAATCACAATCCTAGTCACCACATTTGCTATTTGGGAGTCATTTTCATTTTCCTAGCCTCATTCCCTGACTAAATCCTAAACATTCTATTAGAATTTCTCCCTTTCTCTTCATTTTCAATGCCATATTCCAGGCCTCTTAAAATTTCTTAAAGTGTTATAGTCATATCTTTGCTTACAGTCTCTCTTCTCCATCTTGAGCACTGATAACTGAATAATAATGGTTAAAACTTAATCCAGTTATGTTATTCTGCTATATAAAAACCTTCAATAGCTTCCCATTGCCCATCATTTCTGAGACATGCCATTCTATTTTTTTAGCCTTTTCTACAGCTCATTCACTTTCCATTTTATTTCTCTGTTGAGACTACAGCATACATACAGCACTTAGCTAGATGGCTCACAATGAACTCTCAATAATTGGTTGCTGAATTAATATGTGATTCAGGCCACACAATTAATGACAAGTTGGGAGTAGAACCCAGATCTTCTAACACAAGTCAAAATTTTTTAAAGCTATATTATTTAACCCATTATGAAAATTACATATAGAAACTGCTGGAAAGGTAATTGTAGACAATATCTTCTAAAGTAGGTATCCTTGTTTAGTCATGTCTCAACACTAAAAATAACAAAAACATCTCAGCCCTAGCTGGTTTGCTCTGTGGTTAGAGCACTGGCCTATGGACTGAAGGGTCCTGGGTTTGATTCCAGTTAAGGGCAGGTATCTTGGTTGCAGGCTCCATCTCAGCCATGGTCAGTAATGAGAGAGAATCATTGATTGGGTGCCTCTTGCATGCCTCCCACTGGATAATCAAGCCTGCAATCTGGGCGTGTGATCTGACCAGGAATGGAACCATGAACTGCTGGTTCATAGGTCGACACTTAACCGCTGAGACATGCCACTCTCTCAGTGGGAAAATATCCACAGGTGATTAACAACAACAACAAATCTCTTTATCTGCTTGGCATCATAGATACCTTTGAGAATCTGTTAAAAGCTAAATATTTATTCCCCAGAAAAATAGATAATGGGCACATCTAGCTTATCCCATCCCAGGGTTAGCCACTGCTATTAACTGTGTGGTGTATTTCCTTCTCTGCTTTATTTATATATATAAGTTGGATCATCCACATATTATTTTACAATTTTTTCATTTAGATATATCTATGAGATGTTTTTTTTTCTGTGCCACATCTCAGTTTATCTTATTAATTTTAATACCTAAAAGGTACTCTATATCTGGATTATTCTTTTCTTTAGTGAAAGATTTGAATCCATCAACCTAGTTCATAGGTTGGCACTCAATCACTGAACCACATTAGCCAAGTATTGGTCACACATTTAAAATAATTACCTAAGGCCTGGCCAGTGTAGCTCAGTGGTTGAGCATCAACCCCTGATCCAAAAGATCACTTGTTCGATTCCTGGCTAGGCACATGCCTGGGTTATTGGCTCGATCCCCAGTAGGGGGCATACAAAAGGCAGCCAATCAATGTTTCTATCTCTATCCCTTTCCCCTCTCTCTTTGAAAAATAAAATAAAATAAAAACCAGTGAAAAATATATTAAAATAACTACCTAAGGTCAGCAGTAAAACTGGAAGCCTGTGAGTATTATGGCCACAGACATACTTGGTTTTTCCTGTTTATTAAATGGGGATTATTTATTTATTTATTTATTTATTTATTTATTTATTTATTTTTACACAGAACCTGCTCTTTGAAAAATTGATAGCAGGCATCTGTTTTTCCCATATGTTTTTGATGTGTTGAACTCATATTCATCTTCACAGATGGCCTGCTTCAATCAATACTTTCTGAGCCTATAAGCATTTGAATTTAACTCCATAGCATAAATGAAAGGGACGTTTAACATATACAGGATTGCTCTTTAAAGTGAATTTGTTGTATACTACCTTAATCCTAATATATAAAAATCCAGGGTCCATAACATCCAAAACAACCAAAGGCTCCACCGACTGGAAGTCACCATGCCCGACTGGAAGATTGTGGGCATGATGACTCAGCACTGACTGTGAAGGGGGCTGTGGATCAGGCCTGGAGAGAGGCCTGGACAGAGAAGCAGGGTCTGAACTGTAGTCTCCATGGCAGCTGATGATCAGCCCTTGCCTCTCTCTTTCTCTTGGAGTCTGGCCAGCAGCCATACCTCTCTTTCTCTCTTTCTCTCAGCTCCACCTCTCTGATCAGGCCTGTTGATAGTCCCAGAGATGCTGACTGGCATAGAAACCGACCAATCAGAACCAAATTGGGGTGAAGTGTGAGAAGCCGATGGCTGTCTAGGAATTGGAGCTTTTGACTCTGCCTGGCATAGAAACCAACCAATCAGAACCTAATCTGGGTGAACTGTGAAGGCAGGACCTAAGGTGGGGGCTGAGGAGGGGTTTTAAGGGCAATAGCTATTTGGTGTAAGATGTAAGAAAGCGGTTCAATTTTTTAATGACTGGTTTGGCAGTATAGTGCATATGGCTGGCTATCAGTTCAGATATAAATGTATTTTTATCTGCCAAGAACATCTCCTCCTGCTGAAAAAGGCTTTTAATCTATACTACTAAAAGGGTAATATGTTAATTAGACTGGGTCGACAGGCCATCTTCTGGGTGTCCAACTTCCTTCCGGACAAATCCATGGTGGTAATGGTTGAGGCAGAGGCCATTAGGGGTGATCAGGTCAGCAGGGGAAGGCAGTTGGTGGTGAGATCAGGCTAGCAGGGGAGGGCCATTGTGGGCGAGATCAGGTAGGCAGGGGAGAGCAGTTAGGGGTGATCAGGCAGGCAGAGATATTATAGTTGGAGGCAAGATCAGGCCAGTAGGGGAGAGCAGTTGGGGGTGAGATCAGGCTAGCAGTGGAGGACAGTTAGGGGCAATTAGGCAGGCAGGCACAGGCAGTTAGGGGTGATCAAGCAGGCAGGTAGGTGAGCGATTAATAGCCAGCGGTCCCAGATTGCAAGAGGGATTTCTGATTGGAAAGGGTACAGGCTGGGCTGAGGGGACAAACCTCCTCCCCCCCCCCCCCCCCGCCGTGCACTAATTTTTTGCACCGGGCCACTAGTTGTTAATAAACAAAGGGAGGAAAGGAAGAAATTTTTAGACTTAAGAGAGAAAGTAACCTTTAAAAGCATCCAGATAGCTTAGCTGGCATGCCTCAGTGGTTGAGTGTCAGCCTATGAACCAGAAGGTCACAGTTCAATTCCCAATCAGGGCACTTGCCAGGGTTCCATCCTCAGAAGGGAATGTATGGGAAGCAGCCAATTAATTATTCTCTCTCATCGATGTTTCTCTCTCTCCCTCCCCTTTCCTCTCTGAATTCAATAAAAGTATATTTTATAAAAATACAACCCGATAATATCATGGTTGGATATTTATTAAGTAGGATTCTGCTTGTCTGAATATTGCTTTGTTAGAAACTAAGATACTCATTTATTCTAAATCATATTTTTAGCTGTAAAGTCCAGTCTCTTAGATTATTTTAAGATTTATCTTTTGGTGAATCTATTAGACTCATATGTAATACGTTATGATTTGCATTTAATTTTTTCAAAGAAAGTACACTTCAGGATTGTTGGTCATAAAATAATTTACCTCAATCCCTGTTCACACTAGCTCACAATGCCTTCTCCTATGCCTGAGTACCTGAATGTACACTACATCGGGGAGTCTGCCTCCAGACTGCTGTTCTTATCGATGCACTGGGCACTTTCTATTCCTTCCTTCCAGGCTTTGGGGTAAGTGTTTTAAAATCTTAAATATAAATAAGGTTTTGTAGCACAAATGTACATTAAACAAGAACTTTTATTTTGGAAGGATCTGCATTAAAGGAAAAAAATGGTACAACGTAACTTCAAGTTTTGTCACTTATGTCACAAATCATGGCAGCTAATACTTTTTTATTATATTTATGTGGAAGAGTATTCATATTTCATGATTTGACTAAGTTAATTCAAAGGGGATAAATGGGGTGGAACTGATAAATCATGGCCAGCATTTGTAATAGCCTGTCTCTGAATGACTTAAAGAAAGGGAGCCTTTAGGGTTGTCCCAGGGTGGTGGTTTTCTTTACATGACAGTGTTCATCTCAAACATTTTAAAATATATTTTATTGATTTTTTTACAGAGAGGAAGGGAGAGAGATAGAGAGCTAGAAACATCAGTGAGAGAGAAACATCGACCAGCTGCCTCTTGCACACCCCCTATCAGGGATGTGCCCACAACCAATGTACATGCCCTTGACCGGAATTGAACCTGGGACCTTCCAGTCCGCAGACCAACGCTCTATCCACTGAGCCAAACCAGTTTTGGCTCATCTCAAACATTTTAATAAGAAGCTGAAACTTGTGAGCAGTGAATATGTTTAAAAATAGAAATAATTGTTTTCCAGTTGTGCGATTGAGGGGGCGGGGGGGGGGGGAAGAAAATGTAAACCCCATGATAATTTAGAATTTTGTTCTTTCTATTGAATAGCGCATCTGTAGTCTGTTCTGAGGTAATCAGATGTTAATAGAAATGGCTTACTATAAAAAACCCAAGCTTTGCCTCAAGTTTGCCAGATTTATTTAGATTGCTTTAAAGTAGCTGGTATGAAGAAGCAAAAAGACCATGGTATATGTTAATCCCATAGTTAGAAAAGTATTATTCTAGTTACAGGACCCTATTCATCAGTATGATTTTATAAACCATTCACTTTCATATTCTGTAGATCTGTTTTTCCATTTTCCAAATAAGAATAATAACTACCCATCCTTTATCCTTAGGGAATATTTACAATATAACTAAAGAACATATCTGAATTATAACTTTAAGAGACATACATAGAACCCCACTGTAATTTGGCTTAGTAATCAATGTTGGACATACCATATATTAATATCATGTATTAAGTAATGTATTTAAATATTATAATTACAATAGACTAAGAGCCTGATTTATAATGATTAACCTTTAAAATGATTGTTAGCTCTTTCTCTCAAAATAACATTTAACTTTAAGAATTTCTCCAATCCATTTTTTAAGAAAAATTAAAATATAATATAAATTTATACATTAGCAGTTTATTTTAAAGCATTAACTGTAGTTCCCTAAGCTTGTAATTGGCATACTTGTACCTTGAAAAGTAATCTGATGCTGTTTTTTATAATTGGATATTAATTATTATAATAAAACAACAAAAGGAAGGATTTTGGGTGTAGTGACTTGAACTCCTTGAGTTATTTGTAACACTACCTAATATATTTTATTGATTTTTTTTTACAGAGAGGAAGGGAGAGGGATAGAGAGCTAGAAACATTGATGAGAAACACCTACCAGCTGCCTCCTGCACGCCCCTTACCAGGGATGTGCCCGCAACCAATGTACATGCCCTTGACCGGAATCTAACCTGGGATCTTTGAGATCAAAAACCTATCCACAGAACCAAGCCAGTTTCGGCAACACTACCTATCTTAAGTACTTCTATTAAATTAAGTGTGATTTTTCTATAGAAATAGTCCAGATGTTGAAGAAAGCAAAATTATAAAACCTGAGGTTTCTGATTTATAACAGTATAATTTTATGTGGCATCCACATTTCCCTGTGATCTGTATTAAAAATCTGGTTCAGCCAAAACCGGTTTGGCTCAGTGGTAGAGCGTCCATCTGCAGACTGAAAGGTCCCATGTTCAATTCCGGTCAAGGGCATGTACATTGGTTGCGGGCACATCCCCGATAGGGGGTATGCAGGAGGCAGCTTGTCGATGTTTCTCTCATCAATGTTTCTAGCTCTCTATCTCTCTCCCTTCCTCTCTGTAAAAAATCAATAAAAATATATTTTTTAAAAAAATCTGGTTCAATGTAATAGCCAATCTGATTCTTTGAAGTTAGACTTACTATTAGTGTAGCTGTTGTGTAAGTTCTACTTATTATCCTATCTAATAAAAGAGCAATATGCAAATTAACCATCATTCCAATACACCCACAAGCCATGCCCACCAGCCAATCAGTGATTATGCAAATTAACCCCAACCAAGATGGCTGCAGCCACAGAGAGCAGGAGGGAGGCTTGGGTTTCCCTGGCAATGGAGGAAGCCAAGCTTTCCACACACTCTGGTGGGCCCAGGCCTCCACTCAAGGGTACAAAGTTTCAATTATAGAGGTAAATAAATTCCAACAGAAATGGTGGTAGCCACGGAGCTGGAAAAGCATGAGGCTAGGATTGTCCCAGGCAATGGAGGAAGCTTCTGCAGAGTTGGCCTTCAAGCCTTCACTCCAGGCTACAAAGTTTCAATTACAGAAGATACATAAATTCCAACAGAAATGGCTGCTGCAGGAGGCTTGGCTCCATCCGCTGCAGGCTACAAAGTTTCAGTTGTAGAAGATAAATATACTCTAGATTCCAGGGCCTCTGCTTAGGCCTCCAGGGGACATGCCCGGCCTATAAACTACCACAAGCCCCTTGCCTAGGCCACCCCATGCCTCCAGGGAACCTCCACCCTGATCTGGGACATCCTTCAGGTCAGACCAGCTGGCCTTCACCCTTGCACCAGGCCTCTATCCTATCTAATAAAAGAGTAATATACAGATTGACCATCACTCCAACAAACAAGATGGCTGCCCCCATGTGAACACAAGATGGCTGCCACAAGATGGCCAGCAGGGGAGGGCAGTTAGAAGGGACCAGGCCTGCAAGGGAGGGCAGATGGGGACAATCAAGCCTGCAGTGGAGGGCAGTTAGGGGTGACCAAGCTGGCAGAGGAGGGAAGTTGGGGGCAACCAGGCCTGCAAGGAAGGGCAGCTGGGAGGGACCTAGGCCTGCAGGGGAGAGCAGTTGCGGGGGACCAGGCCTGCATGGTAGGGCAGTTAGGGGTGACCAGACCTGCAGTAGAGGGCAATTAGGGGCAAACAGGCTGGCAGGGGAGCAGTTAGGCATCAGTGGAGGGCAGTTAGGGGCAAACAGGCTGGTAAGGGAGTGGTTAGGGAGTGATCAGGCTGGGAGGCAGAAGCGGTTAGGGGCAATCAGGATGGCAGGCATGCGAACAGTTGGGAGCTAGCAGTCCTGAATTGTGAGAGAGATGTCCGACTGCCCATCCCACTGAGCAGTCGGACATCCCTCAAGGGGTCCCACATTAGAGAGGGTGCAGGCTGGACTGAGGGACACACACCCCCATGCATGAATTTCATGCACAGGGCCTCTAATTTACATAATCAAGAGTAACATGTTAATTGATCGTACCTTTGTGGCACCCACCAGCCAATCAGGAGTGAGTATGCAAATTAACCCAACAAATGTGGTGGGTTAGTTTGCATATGCAAGTGCCGAAGGGGTGTTCTGCACCACCCCAGCTGCTCTGGGTCTCCAGGCTGGAGCAAAAAGGAGGCTTTGGGTCAGAGTGGAAAGTCAGCTCTGGCGAGAGCAAAGGCAGTGCCAGCAGCTGTGGGAAGGAAGGCCCATTCTTGCACAAATCTTCATGCATTGGGCTTCTAGTCACTAAATAATTTTTAGTTTGAATTAAACAGATTTATGCTGACTGAGAACTTGTGTTAGTATTTCTATAAAGTATGCTGTTACAGGTGGAACTGCTGAGTCTGAGGTGTATGTTTCCATTTTTTGTTAGGCACTACCAAATTGTCCTCCAAAATGATGTTGAGACAGTTTACACCCACATCAGCAATGTACAAGAATGAATGGTTATTTTCTCACATCCTCATTAATTCTGGATTTTATCCACCTTTTCTGATAAATGAAAATAGTATCTTATTTTAGTTTGAGATTAAAATTTTTCATTTCCATATGGAGATTAAAACTATTGACTTTCTTTTCATTTAAATTTTACTTTTAAATAAATTTTAAATGGACAATTTTTTATGGTAAGTAATTCTTCTCAGGTACTGAATGGAAAAGAGTGATTAGCCTGGAGTAAAAATTTCAGCTGAAAAATTCCCAGTGAGAAAAATTACTTTCTATATCTCTTAAGTTGGCAATATAAGCTTTTGTTTGAGGTATTCAATTCTTAAATAAAATGTAATATCATAAAGAAGGCTATGTGTTTTAACTTAAATGATTTAAGTATATAGGTTTGAATTTAAAGATTATTTGGTAGGAAAAGAGTCCATGCCCACAGCTTTTCTAACTCTGTTTTTTCTAAATTCTTACTTCTCCCTGTTCTATATCCCCTGAAATCAGAAATCATTTGCTGAATTTCTTCTGTATGCCATCTACTGTGCTGTTGACAAAGATACAGACATGAATAAGCCTTCAGTAAGGTCTTAATCTAGTATAGGAGACAGACTCCAAAACCAATAAATTAGAATACCATGAAATAAGTATAAAATGTAAATGAATATGTGACACTGAAGGAGGAATGATGAACTATCTTGGGAGAGGAATGTGGTAAGATAATTTTTTTTTAAGTGAGCTCTGAGCTATAGATTAATGGATAAGAAAGACTAGCCAGTGAAAGGATATTTAAGAAGGGAGGAGGAGTTACATCAGAGGAATTGAGGCATGGGAGGTTCCCCTGTTTTCTTCCCTTACATTACTATGATTCAACAAAGGATTCCCAGCTCATCACATAAGCTCATCTAAGAGATCCATGAATTAAAACATCTGAAGCATTATTAATCCTAGCCAAGACATGGAAACAGCCAAAGTATCCTTCAATAGATGACTAGATAAAGAAAAGAAGATGTGGTACATATATACAGTGGAATACTACTCAGCCATAAGAAAAAATTAAATACTGCCATTTGCGACAACATGGATGGATCTTGAAAATATCATGTTAAGGAAAATAAGTCAGACAGAAAAACTCAAGAACCATATGATTTCACTCACATGGGATATAAAACTGAAACTCAGACACAGACAACAGTATGGTAGTTACCATTGGGGAAAGAGAGTGGAGAGTTAATTAATAAAGGGTAACAGGGGTCAAATATAGTGACAAAAGGAGACTTGACTTTGGGTGGTGATTGCACAACGCAGTAGACAGATGTATTATAGAATTGTTCACTTGAAACCATATAATTTTATTAACCAATGTTACCCCAATAAACTTAAAGGAAAAAGTTAATATAACTGCTGACTCATAAAAGGACCATAGTTTGAAATAAAATGTTTAGAAATTTAAAAAAACTAAGGGAGGATATCACTTATTAATCCACTCAATAGTTTTTATTGAGTATCTGCTACATACTGGTTCTCACCTCAACAAGTTTGGCCCTTCTTTTTTTCCTGGATAACTGTTCTACTGGAATTTTTTTTTTTTTTTTAAGTTCTTTTCTGTTTTTCTCTATTCAAATGTCAGGCACTTAGACAACTATCTTACCTGAACATGGCCCCAAATCCCCATTTTCTATTGCAGCATCCTACTTTATAGTAATGTAGAATTTTTATTGCCTAAACTAACTTAATGTTTGTATAACCATATGAATATGTGTATATATATATTATATAAAATATTTAAAATGGCATATTTATTATGTTGCCCTTCTGTTTTATGAAGGCAGACCTAATCCATGTTGTTTGTTACTATTTTTACAGTGCTTCCTACAATGCCTGGCTTTTTGTACTTTATGTTATGGCCTGTTCACATAATTCTTACATTTGTGCCTCATAATAATTGAGCTAGATACAGGCATTAGAGTCTCTGCATTTTATATAGCTAACCACCTGAACTTGGAGCTTATTTACCTCATTTTAAATGGATAATAAATTGATAATCTAGGTTTTAAAACCCTGGTCTCTTGACTCCTATTACTTTTTCTATTCTCTCATGCTGAAATTTCTTATTTAGAAATTCAGGGGGAAAAACTTTTGACCTTTCTTGCCCTCTTACCCCTAGTACAATTCTTGGTTTCTCATTTATAGAGATAATATCTTATCTGAAACTTACTTAAAGAAGAAACCTTTTTTCCTAGGAAATTGGTTGTTATCTACCATTAAATAATTTAAATTGCCTTTAAAAAAAAAAAGTATTTACCTGCATTAAAGGCAAAATAAAACTTGGGGAAGGTTTTTTAAATTAGTTTTAATATTTTTAAAAACAATCTTTATGCTGTTTCCATGAAATGTGGTATTAAAGCCCCAACTTCTGCAGTTTGAATCTGTTCTTTATAAACTAGCTGACTGATTAATGAGCTAGCTAATTAAGGTTCTAAGCCTTTCATCAAGTGCAGTGAGGTATACAGAATTGATCAAGTTTGTCTTTCTAGAGTAATTGTACTTCACTAGTATTTTACTATAAAATATATGAGTCAATTGTAAAGTTTATAAAATATATCTTAATAATACCTGATTTGTGTGTGTGTATTTTTAATAGGCAGGAAAACAGCATATCTTTGGTGAAAGCTTATTGGAATGAACTTTTTACTCTTGGTCTTGCCCAGTGCTGGCAAGTAATGAATGTGGCAACTATATTAGCAACATTTGTCAATTGCCTTCACAGTAGCCTTCAACAAGGTAAAAAGCACCTTATTTCCTTTTTCCAGGATATAAGAGAGGATGTCAGTTTTATAAAGTGTTTTACTATTAAAGTTACATTTCTGAAGATAATGTTTTACATACCAACATCCTTTTTCCTTTAGATAATTTTTAAGTTTTGATCATTTCATTTCATTGACCACCGAAAAAAAAGTTTTGAATATTTAAATTTGTATGTCCCTGGATAGAGTTGCACCTAATTTGGTGGTGCTTGTTTCATGTCAGCAAGGGTCAGAGTAACTCCTTGTTTATCCTAGCTTGGCGTTTGGTCTGGGCCCATGCCTGGTTCATGCCCTAGACACTTGAAAATAATTCTTGAATTTTAGAATGTTTTAAAGCACAACAAAATTGAAACAAGTATATTTAAGTTTGGTTGGCTATTTCTGACCAGGCCTTGTGAATTTTTGTGCTTTGCTCTAGGTACCAAGGAATCCAGGTGTAGCTTATATAAAGCTGAGTAAATACTTCAAAATGTATTCTTCCAACCATTACCTTTCTTCATTGTAACCCTTTGAATTCCAAGATTTATTTATTTATTTATTTATTTACTTACTTACTTACTTACTTATTTAATTTCAGACTGGAAAGGAGAGGGAGAGGGAATATTTGATCTGCCGCCTTCTGTATGCCCCCTACTGGGGATTGGGCCCACAACCCAGGCAGGTGCCCTCACTGTTATCCAACCATGACTTCCTGGTTCATAGGTCAACACTCAAACACTGAACCACACCAGCTTGGCAGTGTTGTTAACTTTAAAAAATCTAGATGATTTTGCTCACTTTTTAAAATCAGTGTAAGCTTAAATAAAATCCTCTTACCAAATTTGAATCTTTTGAATTTTCTTTTGCCAGTTTTTCAGATGATTGCCTTATTTTGTAAAAGGTGTATCTTGAAAGGAGAAACATTATATTTAGGGTTTTTTTTTTATATATATATAAACAACTTGTTTTGTTTTTTCTTGAATGAAGAGTATCCAAAGACCTCTATAGTGTCAGCTATACTTGTAGAGACATTGAATTTGAAGCATTTATAGATTGGTTATATTTAATGCTGGAAATTAATGGGAAGGAGATATGTTGGATAAAAATAGTCATACTTTTTAGCAGAAAATTAGAAGCTTTTTTTTGTTTTTAATTAAAGATAAAATGTCAACAGAAAGAAGAAAATTATTGATGGAGCACATCTTCAAACTTCAAGAGTTTTGCAACAGCATGGTTAAACTCTGCGTTGATGGCTATGAATATGCCTACCTAAAAGCAATAGTACTCTTCAGTCCAGGTACACAAATAGTGACATCTTATCTAAAATACAATGTTTGAGCTTGTGGTGAAATTGGATCCCTCATACCCTGTTGGTGGGAATATAAGATGATGCAATTAAAGTGGAAACAAGTGTTCATCAACGTATGTCTAAGTGAACCAAATGTAATATATGCATACAATGGAATATCATTCAGCTATAAAATTAAGTTCTTACACATGCTACAACATGAATGAACCTTGAAAACTATGTTAAGTGAAAGAAGCCAGTCACAAAAGACCACATATTACTGATTCTATTTAAATGGGATATCTAGAATGGGCAAACTTTACAGACAAAGTAGGTTAGAAGTTAGTAATTACCAAGGACTAAGGAGAGAGAAGAATAAGGAGTGACTGTGAATGGTACAGAGGTCTTTTAGAATGACATAAATGTTCTAAAATTAGATTGTGGTGATAGTTGCACAGTTCTGTGAATAATCTAAAACAATTGAATTATACACTTTAAATTGGTGAGTTTTATGAATGTTGGACACTTATTTGGGTGTGAAAAAACATTTGAAACCAGTGAGCAAAATTCCTTCTTCACTTTTGGGATAAACAAAAATACTATTTTAGTAGATCTCATTGATCTCATTTTTTATTAGATATTAGAATTTGTATATGAGATAAAATAGTATAATAGGCTTTAAGTACAGTACCTGGTACTTAGTAATATTTATGGAAAGAGGTTTCATTTTTGACTGAACTATTCTTATTCCCTTCCACCTCCACTTTAGATGTCTTATTAAATGAACATTCAGAAGCAGGGTAACAATATGTTCTTTCATGTTTCAGACCATCCAGGCCTAGAAAACATGGGACAGATTGAGAAATTTCAGGAAAAGGCTTATGTGGAATTTCAAGATTATATAACCAGAACATATCCAGATGACACCTACAGGTATCTAGAAGTTAAATACTATTTAACTATATTAATTTTAAACAGTTTTGTGAATCTATTCTTTCATTATTTTATATTTCAAGAGTAAATAAAGTGTTCCAGTTAACCTTTGAAATGAAATAGCTAATGCTATAAAAAGCAGTATGCATTATTGCATGTTATATTTCACCCAGTTCTTACATTTATATAGAGATGACGTTAGCATACAAAGAAAGGTTAAGTAACTGGCTCAAGATCACAATAATTGGCAGAGCCTGACTGGATCCAGGTAGTCTGGCAATAGTGCCCAAACTCTTTCTTTTAAATAAATGAAATATTTGGCTTATATTTCTACTAACGTATTTCTTGTTGGTGTTCTTTTAAAAAAATATAAGATCAGTTAAATTTTTGAAGGAAGGACAGTATTGTACACACATGGCCATCAGAGCCAGAGTACGTAGGTTTGACTTCTGACTTTCCTTATTAGCTGTAAGACAATGGGCAAGTAGTTTTTAACTTCAGTTTCTTCACCTGTAAAGTGAAGAAGATAATAGTATCCACATTTTACAATTAGTGTAATGCTTAAATCAGTTAATAATGTGAAGAGCTTAGAACAGTACTTGTTTCATAGCAAGGGCTATATAAATATGGTTACTAACATTATTTATTTGATATACTTCAAGCTAGTAAAAGAACATTTCACATATAACAATGTTTTATACGTATTAAATAATAAATTTATAAGCAGTTCCATCATGAAAATGAGCCTTAGTTAACCAGTTTTCTTATCCTGCTTTCTACCAGTTCTGTGGATGCTACTCAGTAATTCTGGGGCTACTAGTTTCATTTGATCTCAAGCATTGGAGTGCTAGGCCTTAGACTAGAGGAAGGATAAACATTACCACAATCTTTTTGGAAAGGTGGTTCTTTTGTTGTTGGTTTGTCATGATTCCCCCCCCCCCCCCAGATTTTAAAAAATGTTTCTAAAGTTGTTTTATGCCTCATTATAAAATAAGTACAATATTTACATTTATTCTCGTTTAGATGTGTAGTTGTTTGCTGACTTCTATTTGATTAGATTCCAGCTGCTTTCACTGATCTTTGGAATTATTTCTGAGTTTCTTACATTTCTAGTTATTTAAAAATAATAAATTATCTTTCATTAGCAGTTTTCAATGTATAATGAACTTTCACACAAGATATCTTGCCAAAATTTAAAAACCTCACTATACAGAAACTGGCAGATATCATTGTAATTTAAAAAAAAACAAAAAAAAACTGAAGAAAGGCAGGCTGTACATAGCTAGGAGGGCAACTGAATCAAAATGTGAGTCCAGTGATCTTGATTCCATTGTTTTGTGCTTTTCCCAGTAATAACAACCATTGCCTGTTTTGCCATTCCCGGAAGTATTTCATAAAGCAAAACCAAGAAAACTATTATAATTGAGTCTGTGTGCCCTGATAACACAAAATATTACTGTTCTTACAACCTAAAATATCGATAAGTTCCTCTGCCATTTTTAGACATATAGCTTGAACTGTGGTTTAATAGTGTAGCAGTTAAGAGCAAAGCTCGACTATGAAATCTGTAAGACTGCACTTATATCCAGTAGATTGTCATACACTATAATATAAAGCTTGAATTCTAAGGTTTTTATTTTAACTTTTGAAAATTAGATCTTTTATTCAATTAGGCTACAAAAAATAACATGCAAAAATTACTCATTTTTCTACTTACTCTGTCTTTGATTTATAACCTTGTCCCCTTCTTCTTTCTTTTTTGTTTTTAGGTTGTCCAGACTCCTACTCAGATTGCCAGCTTTGAGGTTGATGAATGCTACCATCACTGAAGAATTGTTTTTCAAAGGTCTCATTGGCAATGTACGAATTGACAGTGTTATCCCACATATTTTAAAAATGGAACCTGCAGATTATAACTCACAAATAATTGGTCACAGCATATGAAAGCTGAGCACTCAGTGTAAACTTATTGTTCTTTCTCAGAACACAAGACACCAAATTGAACTCACTGTTTCCAGAGCACCTGGAAATTTTGACTTTCAAGAATTACCAAAAACCGCCCAAACCGGTTTGGCTCAGTGGATAGAGCATCGGCCTGTGGACTGAAGGTCCCAGGTTCGATTCCGATCAAGGGCATGTATCTTAGTTGCGGGCATATCCCCGGTAGGGGGTGTGCAAGAGGCAGCTGATCGATGATTCTCTCTCATCGATGTTCTAACTCTATCCCTCTCTCTTCCTCTCTGTAAAAAATCAATAAAATATATTTAAAAAAAAAAAAAAAAGAATAACCAAAAACCAAGATATTTTTATTTTTACTTTCTTAAGAAGAATTTTCAAAGTGACTGGGCAGGTAGCAGGAATTAGAGTTTCCTGTCTTATTTAAGTGATAAGAAATACTATGAATTTTTTCTTGGTTAAGATGATATCTAAAGCTGTCACCTTTTAACTATCTAAACTAAAATCTCTCATATCTTATTTGGTGAAATAAATAAATTAGTGTTTTTTTCCCAGAATTGTGTTCTATTCATGTTTAACTTCATTATGAGCTAGTACAAATACATAATTGTCAGAAGTCTCTGAGGATATCCTTGTATATTACACTTTTGTAATATAATCTGTTTTAATTACTTTGTTAAAAGATTATTTTATGGTCAATGGTGTAATGATAACATTAGAACCAGAGGAAATCATAATTGAATATATATTTTTTTGTCTTTTATAAATATTATGGCACTCATAGCATAGACCACTCATTGCTGGCAGTGAGACAGGATATTCACGATCTTAAAACTTGACTTTTTTAGTGGTTTATGTTATTAGTTACAAGCACTTTTTATTTATGTATGTAACAGAAAATTGTTTTTGAGAATAAGATAAGGTTCATGTTTTAATATTTTCAGTTTACTGAAGTGTTTTAAAAGTAGTCGAAACTGGTTGAGCCCAAAATATTTCAGTATTGCAGAGTAGATCTTAAAATGTTGCTCTTTCATTGCACAGAAAACATCTGTCCTCTTCCTCTTTCCTGATCCATATTATATAGTTTCCTGACCCTTCCATGGGTGTTAGCCAATTTCTTTTAGGTCATTTCGAAATACAGTTTGTTAAATAATGGATTTATCATAACCAATCTGTGTTGTCAAGGTGAGTGAAAGAATTATTTTAAGGCAGTTAATAGTTTTTAAAAACTAAAACTTTTTAGTATATAAAGGAATATGCACTGATTTTTCACTATAAAGAGGGAAGGGCTATTTTAGTATGAGCATTGGCCTAAAACCTTGTTATTGCTACAACAAAAGCATTTTTAATTTTTTGGATGTCTTCCACAGTAATGTTTTTCATAGCAAACTTAATACTGTTAAATATTTATTTGCTCTGATTTCATGATGAATTGTTTTAGTGTGTTTATTTGTTGCTTTGTTATAAAAAACAAAATGGAGATTTCATTGTACTTGGAGTACATCTTTTACAAAGATTTTTGTAATAGAAGAGAAGCTAAATTTGGGGAGGCTGTGGATTTTACTAATTACTACTTTATAGTAAATCAAAAGTTTAAAAATATCACCATACAGTCTTTACCATCTTACTAAGGGAAATTTTTCCCTATTTAAAACATGTTTTTTGTTTTTTGTTTTTTTTTTGTCATTAGGTTTATTTATAATATTAGCTGTAGAAAACTACATTTACTATAAAAATATACAAATGGGAAAATTAGTAGCTTTATACCTTTATAACCCCAAGAAGTAAGCCAAGGATTCAGAAATAATGTAATAATGGTCAATTAACACACGTTTACTGCAGGTATTTTTCATGATTAAATTTGTAGTTATATTTGGAAGTGTATTTAGATCTATATTAAAATGTGACCTGCATTATAAATTTGTTTCCTGACAATATATTTATTTGATTTCAGAGTTCTATTTGTTGAGTAGTTATCCTTTTGTTTGCCACAGTAAAGTATAACTACATCATGATAAAAGAGAAGAAATCAAAGGATAAGAGAATCTGATAAGTCTTTAGAAAATAAAATCAGTAGAGAAAGACTGATTTAGCAGAGCCAGAATCAAGGACACTCTAACCTGAGTGCCTGCAAAAGAAAATACAGTGAGAAAGAAGCCTGTACACCTTGCAGTGTCCAGAAAAAATGCTCATTATCTGGAGGACCCAGGTACTTGTATTCAGAGATAATGTTTGGGACATAAAAAAGGATTGATTGCAAATCTGTATACAGACTCATTGAACTGTCTCTACACAAGTCAGGTGATCATTTTCTGCCTCCACCCTCCCCCTGCCCTTTTTAAAAAAAATATATTTGTACTAGAGGCCCAGTACACAAATTTGTGCATGGGGTGGAGGGGTGTTCCTCAGCCCAGCCTGTACCCTCTCCAATCTGGGGCCCATTGAGGGATGTCCAACTGCTCATTTAGTCCTGGGATTGGGCTTAAATGGGCAGTCAGACATCCTCCTCACAATCCAGGACTGCTTGTCTGCCTGCCTTCCTGATTGCCCCTAACACTACTGCCTGCCAGCCTAATCACCCCCTAACTAATCCCCTGCTAGCCTGATTGATGCCTAACTGCCCTTCCCTGCAGGCCTGGGTCCCCCCCCCCTCCCCCACAATTGCCCTTACCTGCAGGCTTGATTGCCCCCAACTGCCCTCCCTTGCAGGCCTGGTCCCTCCAACTGTTCTCCCCTGCTGGCCATCTTGTGGCAGCCATCTTTAACCACATAAGGGCAGCCATCTTGTGTGTTGGAGTGACAGTCAATTTACATATTACTCTTTTATTAGATAAGATTGACTTCAGAGAGGGAGAGATAGAAACATCAAATTATAAGAGAGAATCATTAATCGGCTGCCTCTTGCATGCCCCACACGGGATTGGTTCCGTAACCTGGGCATGTGCCCTGACTGGGAATTGAACTATGGCCTCCTGGTTCATTGGTTGATGGTCAACCACTGAGCCATGCAGGCTGGGCTGTTCCCTCTCCTCCCTTTTTGAGCATCAAGTCAAAGGTTAATGTTATTAAAAAGCTAACTGGAAGATCGTAGGACTTCCAGGATGCCAGACATAATAGAAGGCTTGGATTAGATACAGGATTGAAAATATTAAGCCCTAATCAGTTAGCTTAGTGGTTAAAACATTGGCCAAGGGACTGAAGGATAATGGGTTTTATTCCAATCAAGGGCACTTAACTTGTACCTCAGTTGCAGGCTCCAATCCCTGTCACCCACACTCCCCTCACAGCACATGCAAGAGACAGCTAATCCATGTTTTTCTGTTTCTCCTCCTCCCATTCTCTAAAAAAAAGTCAATGGAACAAAATAGCCTTAAGTGAGGACTAACAAAAAAATATACAGATTAAGTTAAAATATGCATTCTGAATGTGGGCCATCAGGTATAGCTTTTCTCTTCAGAAAAACTACCTCCAGAGAAATGATCTCCAGGCACTCACTTTTGGTTGTGTCTAGATATGATGCCTGATTATCATTTTATCACAAACCCACCATCAAGTCGTGCGTGTATAATGTATTTTCATTGAACTCTTTGGTGCCTATTAAATATGAGTGTGGAACCAGGATTTCCAAATAGTTAAGGAAAATCTGTAATATCTAAGAGATCACACATAGAGCGGGGAAATATAATGCAGGGATCACAACAATACCCCCATTGCTATTTAAAATATATGTATCGGGTCTAGTAATAATTAATGTCGTTTTTAAACATTCGTTTAAAATCTTGCTTGGCGTTGACTTGTATTGACATAACCTTCAAACACGTGGTATCTACAGAACGTGTGAAGTGCAATTAACAAGTTTTGCTTGAAAAAGTTTGTTTGGTTTGGTTTTTGTTGCAAAACTAGGGCTAAGAAGATGGCGGATGAAGAGCATATTCGGCACTGCATGCTTTACGAGTTCCAATTAGGAAGAAAAGCAAGTGAGGCTGCAAAAAACATCTGTAGTGCTCTTGGTCAAGATGCAGTTAGCGCCAGAAAATGCCAGATTTGGTTTGAGAAATTTCGCGAGGGAAATTTTTCGTTAGATGACAAGAGTGGTCGAGGCCGTGTGTCCAATTTTGATCAAGAAGCTCTTCAAGCTCTTTTGGTGCAAAATCTTCAAATTACCCAACAAGAGCTTGTGACAACTTTAAATTGTTCACAAAAAACAATTTCCAATCAATTGCATGCACTTGGCAAAGTCCAAAAGTTTGGAAAATGGGTTCCTCATGAGTTGACCGACAACAACCGTAATCAAAGAGTCACAATTTGCAGTTCGCTCCTCTCTCGTCAAAACCGTTTGCCGTTTTTAGAGCAAATTGTTACCGGAGATGAAGAATGGGTGCTGTATGTTAATTTGAAAGGCAGCCCCAATGGTTGGACAAAAATGAGGCTCCGCAGCCCACGCCAAAACCTGACTTGCATGTGAAAAAAGTGATGTGTGTTTGGTGGAATTTTAAAGGAATTCTTCATTATGAACTTTTACCATCTAACCAAACCATTACAAGTGCAGTGTATAGTGCCCAATTGGAAAGGTTAGCCCAAGCTTTAAGAGAAAAAGAACCCGCGCTGATTAATCGGAAGGGCGTAATTCTTCACGAAAATGCACGACCGCATACTCCAAGAATCACTGCTGAAAAACTGCGCCAGTTGGAATGGGAAGTTCTCCCTCAACCTGCATATTCTCCTGATATTGCCCCTTCCGATTACCATTTGTTTCGTTCTTTGCAAAACTTTCTTCTTGGAAAAAAATTTAATAATGAAGAATGCCTCAAAAATGCATTGACCGAATTTTTTGCATCAAAATCACAAGAATTTTACAACAGAGGGATTAAAATGCTTCCTGAGCGTTGGGCACAAGTAGTAGAAAACAACGGCAACTATATTGTTGATTAAATTTTGTTGTACTGTTTAAATAAATTTGATTTAAAAAAGTATTAGAAAACGACATTTATTATTACTAGACCTAATATATTGATTTTTTACAGAGAGGGAGAGGGATAGAAAGCCAGAAACATTGATGAGAGAGAAACATCGACCAGTTGCCTCCTGCACACCCCCTACTGAGTATGTGCCTGCAACCAATGTACATCCCTTGACCAGAATAAAACCTGGGACCCCTTAGTTCGCAGATTGACACTCCATGCATTGAGCCAAACCAGTTTTGGCCTCATTGCTATTTTGACAGAAGCTAGGTGTTATATCCATTAAATGAGAACAGGAAGTTTTAAAAAGGGAAATTTGGTGCAAGGAACAGCCCCTGGAAATTAAAAACTATAGCCAAAGCAATTCATTGGAAAGTTTGGAAGGTGAAGTTGAACTCACCCAGAAAGCATAAGAAAAGATAAATAAAAAATAAGAAAAAAATAACATTAGGGAGTCAAATCAGGAGATCTTATATTTTAATATTAAAAGTGTAAGGAAGAGGGGGTTTTAGAGGGGAGAGAAGTATATAATAAAAAGGTAACATCTTGTGATAGAACTGTTCACTATCTTGACTGTGGTGACATACAAGATAAAACTATAGAACTAAATACGTGATAAAACTATAGAACTAAATACGCACATACACAAATGAGTAGAGGTAAAGCTCAGTGGATTGCATTAATGTCACTATCCTGGTTGTGTTGGTATATTGTAGTTTGCAAAATGATATACCATTAAGAGAAAGAGAAGTATAAATAGAATAGGATAGGATCTCTCTGTATTTACCCTACACTGCATAGGACTATAATTATCTCAATTTAAAATTTCAAGGGAAACAAGAACTTTAGGAATATTAGGAAATTATTACCTAGCCACTGATCATCAGTGGCTGCTAAAATCATGAAAAGTGAAGCAAGTGGATACCATGTGTGCATCCTGATTGAAGGATATCATCACATAAAATATGGTTAATTTTTATGTGATGATATCCTAGTCAAGCACTTAGGTTAATTACTAATATATAGGAAATACAGGGGATAGAAGAATATTAACGGGGGGTGGGGCAGAGGGAGGGCGTACAATCAACAAAATCCAGACTAGGGGAAATTCTTCTATCCCAGTATCTTCATCAAATACATTGGAAGGACAAAAAAAGAGCAGGGGGTGGAAAATGGGAGAAACCTATAGACTAAAAGAAATTAAGATCAACCAGTTACAACATATGGTTGGAAAAACAAAGGAGACAGTTGGGAAAATTTGAATCCTCTGAATATTTAATATTAAGGAATTACTGTTTAATATGAGATGATAATTTTTTTTACTATATTGTATTGATTTTTCACAGAGAGGAAGGGAGAGGGATAAAGAATTAGAAAATTGATTGGCTGCCTCCTGCACACCCCCCACCAGAATCGAACCTGGGACCTTTCTGTCCTTTGGCTCTATCCACTGAGCCAAACCGGTTTTGGCATGATAATCTGTTTTTAAGAGTTTGTAGATATATAAAAATATTTCAGATGGATTTTTTTTAAAGGGAAAACAAAAAGTGCATGAAAATCACAGTTCAACATGAAATAAATTCAAATGTGATTTTGAATTTTGACTAATTAATAGAGTCTAAGAAAATTTGACCCTGATATTTGCAAGTTTTTCCCTGGGGGTTGAAGATTGAATAGTATAAAATGAAATATTTTTCCTGGATCTAGTTATATTACTTGATTCTTTCATGAAATACTGTGTTTCAGTTTTTAAACTCAAACAATGGAAACTTGCAGTTACAATTCAAGTGTAAATCTTATAAACCTTAATCTTTTGAAAGTAATGATAATGGTGACTTAGAGTCTGAAGAGCAAAGGATGAGAATAGGTGAGGAAAGTGAGGTGCTAAATTTCTCATCTCAAATAGTTGAGAATCAAGAGAGAATGTTCCAAGTCGATGGGTCAAGGAATATATAGATT